GTGTCTCGTGTGGGACATGCAACTGGACCCCTCTCTCTTCCCGCCGCCCCCTTCGACAAAACAAAGACCTCCAAATTTCAACCAAGTTGAGAAGGCATGTAGTTGCGTGCCTAGTGTGGGATATGTAATTGGCCCCTCTCTTTGGCAAAACGAAAGTCGAGTTCAACAAAGTTAGAAGACGTGCAGTTGCGACCATGTTGGAAGACATGCAGTTGCGTGACTACAGTTGAGCATGCAACTGTCCCCCTCCCCTCTCTTGTCGCTTCCCCCTTTGACAAAACAAAGGCCCCCAAATTGCAATCAAGTTAGAGGACGTGCAGTTGCGTGGGTAGCGTGGGACATGCAACTACCCCCTCTCCCCGTACGACAAAACAAAAATCAAGTTACAACCAAGTTAGAACACATGCAGTTGCAAGCATTTTGGAAGACATGCAGCTGCGTGACTACAGTTGAGCATGCAACTAGCCCCCTCTCTTGCCGTCGACCTCCGACAAAACAAAGGCCCCAGTTAGAAGACAATGCAGTTGTGACCATGTTTAAAGACATGCAGTTGCAATGACTACATTTGAGCAAGCAACTAAGCCCCTATCTCTTGCCGCCGCCACCTCTGACAAAATAAATGCCCAAGCTGCAACTATTTTGGGATACATGTAGTTGCGTGACTATAACTGGACATGCAATTGGTCACCTCTCTCTTCCTTGTTCGACGAAACTAAAGTTGAGTTGCAACCAAGTTAGAAAGACATGCAGTTGCATGGCTAGTGTGGGACATGCAACTGGACCTCTCCTCCTCCGACAAAAACAAATGCTCGGTTAGAACACAAGTTAGAAGACAATGTAGTTGCGACCATGTTTAAAGACATGAATTTGCAATGACTACATTTGAGCATGCAACTGGCCCCCATCTCTTGTCGCCGCCACCTCTAATAAAACAAATGCCCCAGTTGCAAGTATTTTGGGATACATGCAGTTGCGTGACTATAACTGGACATGCAGTTGGTCCCCTCTCTCTTGCCGTCACCCCCTTCGACAAAACAAATGACCCCCATTTGCAACTATGTTGGAACACCCCCAACCCAGTTGTGGTCATGTTGTACCCTTCGCAGTTGCATGTCGTTCCCAATAATTCCAGTTGTGCATCCGGATCACGAGATTTATTTGGGCGGAAATGAAAAGAAAAACCAACTTCTTCTCTACCAACCGAACATAGAAAAAATAGGACATATTGACACGATGAAAATCTTTTTTTTTTTGTAATACATGAATGGAAAATAAACAAAAATCCATGTGGAAAAGACAACAACAAGTGAGACTAAAAATTGTTCATGCGTGTCAAAGTGTATGTTCTGAAAAACTTAGATGTTCCATTGTTTTCAAAAGAAGAAAGATGAAAATATGCAAAAGTAGAAATACAAGTAAAAACAGCTGAATAAAACAATATAAAAGGTAAATACACATAAAGAGAAAAAAATTAGAAAATAAGGATAAAACCTACATAAATACACGTGTATAAAAAGTAAGCTTCCCAGTAAGCTTCTTTCTGTACGCACAAGCCTAACAAAAACAAGAAGAAAACCCGCTAAACAAAAAATACAAAATATTTACGTAGGATAGAAAACAGAAAAAGGAAAATGAAAATGGACCAGAAGCCGTAGCCCACAGGCCAGATAGGAAAGCAAGTTAAGAGGCTATAGCCCACGTAGCGGAAGGAATTCAGCCGGTGCCAGCCTCTAATACGTCTTGAACAACGGGAATACATACATCAGCGAGAAACTCAGATCAATCAAATCGTATGGCTAATCTCGTCGACTGAGACTTCACTAATTCTCAGTCGACTGAGAATTAGCACAACCGTACTATAAAACTTCCTGCATGCATGCATATAGTACATTGACAGAAGTCACTTCGAATCATGGGCCTAAAGAGACGAGTACATCGATCTGGGCCCTTTTTAGCCCACCAGGCCAACACTGGAAAATCAGAACTATTCCAACGTTTATCTAAAAAAAAAGAACTATTCCAACACTGAAAGGAAAAAAAAAGTGAAGTACAAAAGATACGCAAATACTAGTAGAAACTTTATACCAACGAAATAAAGAGTAGAAACATAGCACCTCCAAAGCATCCCCGTATCGATATGTGCTGCTGCAATTCGATTCCAAACTTCACAGACAAGAAGCAGATATGACATCACGGGTTTTTTGCGGGGGAGATATGACATCACGTTACATTGCATTCATGTCATCCTAACTCTCGTTTACAATTTCATCACATAAAAAACACTTATTTATAGCTGTGTGCAATAAATGTATTTACGAAATTGATGCTTAAGGCCCTTTGCACCTAACTCATGTCATCAGTTTATCAATGTCTTCTGTCCAGGTAGGTAATACTTTTATCCTAATATTTCGTAACCTTATTGCTTTGTTGTATTTTAAGAGAATGTGAAAAAAAGACATTTGTGTGTCTTTTCATAAAGAGGAAAAGCTGGCTAAAGATTTTTGGTTAGAAGACAACATAAAATTCTCATAACAGCTTTTTCTTCATCGTATCTATAAAACAATATATAAATCACCTTCCAACATAAAATTCAATCCATCCTTTTTGAATTACGTAGGCCATACAAACTCAGCCTAGATGAGTTTCACCCGAATTGAAGTGTACTACTAGAAGGGTTGAGCGTGCTTTGTTGCCCCGCTGATGTTGCTGTGATTTCTTTAAAAAAAAATTGTTATCTGTTTTGACACGCAAGGAGGATGATGAAGTGTATTTCTTTTTTATAATGCTATACATCTTGGTAGGCTTCTCCTCGACAGTGTGATTATGCGTCATCTACTAATCAACTCATACTTATATGGAGTTTCGTGCACTGGTGACCGCATGGATTATATTGGTGCTACAATGTTAGATGTTTGCGCATTTTTGTAGGTGTTGAAAGAGTGCGCGGAACCGGTGTGTTTTTTATAGGCTAGTTGTTGACGGCTAATTTCAAAGATCATTTACCTAGTAAAAATTTCGAATGAAATCCAACATTAAACATCTTAACCGAATGAGAGGGCGCCTTTGGAATTGTTGACCTGATTAAAACTGTGAACCGAATTCAAATTGAACATCTCAATTGATTGAATGGGAGGGCTCCAAAAGGAGGGAGCATGGTGAGTTAGAAGATATATTCTCTGTTTCATATACTAATGGTCAAAGTTGAACATCAAAATACTCCGTATATGTGGTCAAAGTTGAACATCAAAATACTCCGTATATGATGCTCAAAAAAAAAACTCCGTATATGGTATCGTGTCACGTCTGTCGGTGTATGGACCGCGCTCACGTGACACGAGACCGCAGCGCCCCGGCGGCCGGCCCCGTGCCCTCCTACCAGCAGCACCCCGACGCCCGCGCGCGCGCACCCACCCCTATCCCGCCGACACCCCGCCCCCACGCGGACCCTGCCCCACTTCGCAGCCTCTAACCGCAGGAAACACCGACGACGACCCGCTCGCGCGCGGGGCCCCGCCTGTCACTTGGACTCCTCGGAGCGGTGGGAGGGGACGCGTGGCGGCGGCGGCGGGTCTCCCTCCGCCCACGCAACCTATAGCCAACCTATAGCAACACAAGTGGCGGTGCGGCCGGCCGAAAAGGAGACGACCACCAACACCAACTGGGAGTGGAAGTGGAGGCCTGCTTGCTTTCGGTGGGGAGCCGGAGAGCGAGTCTCCCCCTTTCGGTGCCGCTGTCGGGGTTCTAATTCGGCCCCGCTCTGCTCCGGCGGCGGGGTTTAATTCGGCGACGGCAGCGGCCTGTGGTGGCGGGGGAAGAGCAAGGAGATGGTGGCGGCGGCGCCGTGCGCCACGCGGAGGTCGTTCAGGGACTCGCTCAAGGTGCTGGAGGCGGACATCCAGCACGCCAACACGCTGTGAGTACCCTCTCTCCCTCCCCCCAAACTAAAGGACCAAATTTCTTGAATTTCTTCCAGGTTTGGGGTGTGTGTTGTTTACGATGTGGTGAAATCCTCTGTCTATGCCGCAGGGCGTCCGAGTGCTCGCGGGACTACGACGGGGCGTGCGTGCAGATGCGCATGTCCTACAGCCCCGCCGCGCGCCTCTTCCTCTTCCTCCTGCAGTGGACCGACTGCAGCCTCGCCGGCGCCCTCGGCCTCCTCAGGATCCTCATCTACAAGGTACTCCACTACTTTTGTCCGTCCGTCCGTCTGCTGTCTGTCAGTCTGTGTGCCCATGCCCCTGGTTTCCTTCCATAATTTGTGCTACTGTATGTATGTATTGTGGTGGTTGTGCTTGTGTTCTTACGGAATCCATCCTCTCTGCCTCCATTGTTTCTGCAGGTCTATGTGGACGGCACAACCACCATGTCCACCCACGAAAGGAAGGCCAGCATCAGGGAATTCTACGGTAAATGCTGCTCTATAAATAGCTGAAAAGAACAGCAGATGTTCTCACTGTCAGCCTTGTTTGGGTTGAACTTGTGTACTGTAGTGATGCCCATTCTCTGTCCGTCCGTCTGCAGCTGTGATATTCCCCTCCCTCATGCAACTGGAGCACGGGATAAGCGACTCCGACGACCGGAGGCAGAGGGCGGCGTGCTCAGAGCGATACAGGAGGAGAGACGAGCCAGAGGACAGCAAGAGGCCGGTCTCCGAGATCGACGCCGAGATAGAGGAGGAGTGCGGGATCTGCATGGAGCTCAACAGCAGGGTCGTGCTGCCCAACTGCAGCCATGACATGTGCATCAAGTGCTACCGTCAATGGTGAGCGAGAACAAGAACCTGATACCGTCGCGTGATTCTTCTATTTTTCTACCATGTTCAGTTCACTTCAACCATAGCAAACATGTTTGGTCCTTGGTTTAATGCGAGCTTCAGAGGTAGCTTAGTCGACACTTCATTCTGGTGTTCTTAAGTGCTTCAGCAGTCGCCACCAGAGCCTCTTTATTCAGATGGCAGTGCACTGCTATGAGTAATTAAGATGGCCGCGTGAGCATCATTTATGGAAAATACTATGCAGCAACCTCTGCAGCTTCCAGTTTTGTCCTTGGTTCTTACGAGGCCTGACTTTCTTACTGGAGTATCACTTACTATTATTATTAAGCATTAGAAATTTACAAAATTAGTTGTTTCTCGAAAAATTTACAAGTTAAATTCACCGCGTACACGTGACGCAAGTGAAAATATTGTGGTTTTATGCTGTAAAAATAAGTTGCAGTCTGGTTCTGCTAGAATGGTTGCCGCAGAGCTTTGAAACTCTGCTGCTGGAATGACTACATGGGATTCCTTATCAGCTAGACGAAGAAGGAATGCCCCAAACTAACTGATTCATAGCTCCTCAAACAATTTGTTTACCAGTTTGTACCTTCAGAGCATGAGCAGAGGAGCTTTCTCTGCAAATGAAAAATTACATTTCGCAAAAACTGTCCGCTGCCAAATGACTGCTGTGGTCACTGAACCCTGTGTTTATCGTGGTTTCAGGCGCTCGAGATCTCAATCATGCCCCTTCTGCCGAGACAGCCTCAAGAGAGTAAACTCCGGCGATCTATGGATGCTCACCGACCAGCGCGACGTCGTCGACATGGCGACGGTGACGAGGGAGAACATCAGGCGCCTCTTCACGTACATCGAGAAGCTGCCTCTCGTCACGCTGGACAACATCTTCGATGCCTATGATTCCCATGTAAAATAACTTTGAGCCGTTGACGATGACTTGCTCATGACTGTTTTTTCCTTTCTGGGAGCGTTGACGCATGGCTTGTTGTTGTTGGTTCATGCAGAGGATGTTCCTTGTCCTAGGATGTGGCTGACCATGGATGGAGCAGCCTGACAGAGAGACCCTGTGTGAGCACCCTAGGGTCCTCAGGTTTTGTAAATACATGTACAGATTTACAGTTTGCATGGAAATGTTCAGGGAAAGTCAGAATAACAATATGTTATGCAGTAGAGTAATGCCTGTACATATTTGTAATCTGGATGGGAACAGACATATGGTGCATGAACTACCTCCGTTCCGAAATATAGGATGCTTTGGATATTTCAAATATGGACTACATACGGACCGAAACGAGTGAACAGATCCGCTAAAACGCGTCTATGTCCATCTGATTGAAAAAATAGTTATAACGTCTTATAATTTGGAATGGAGGGTGTGTTATTTATGTGCTAATGTGATTTACATATGGTTTCAACTGAATGAATACAAGGCTGCTTCAGCTCTCCTTTTCTCTGTGTGCGCGATTGCTGCCCTTAAAATTTTAGTGGCTTATTCTAACCTTTTCTGGTGATTCAGTTGAAGAGGTTGCTTAAGATGTTTGCCTACAGATTTTCCGGTGAGGACAGCAAGTAAGTTTATCAGTGGAGTTTTCTTTGAAACAAGTTTTGTCAGTACCACATAGGTACAGTACATACCACAATACACTGCTGGACGCTGGTAAACCGTAGCGAGTAAAACAAGTACAATACATGCCCTGTGCTGTACATACAGACGATTGGTACAGACTTTATACAGTACAGTAGGTACATACCAGTACCACGGTACATACGATTGGTACAGATTTAATAACGTGGTGGATGGAATTTAGGGGCCAAGCATAGCAGGTGAGTACGTCCAACCGGTGGCTTATACTAAATTGCAGAGCGTACTACCATGCCATTGGATCTGGGGTAACACAATGTTAATCCAGCCAACATGAATAATGAAGAGTTCATCCAACCGTCAAAGCCCCCTGCAAGGAGAAAAACTACCGTAGACATCCACTGGTAGGGAAACAGGGGAAATTTGCAAAAGTCATCTTCTGCTCGTGAGCTCATTTAAACTCGTGATGAATAATAAAATCCAAAGAAAAAATATAAAAGAATTCAAAAAATTCTGAATTTTTGTTGTGATGACCTTCAATGAGTGTTTTTAATGCTTGCAAAATTTCATCATAAAATGACATTCTTAGAAGTTGTGGCAAAAAGACAAAATCAGCACTTCAAAATGCTTTTAAAAAGAGTTCAATACATTGAAGGTGCCTTAACTTGTTCATCACGGTCACTTTGATGCCTAAACTTATAAAATACATGAAACTGGTGCTACAACTTGTTCGGTCGTGCAAATACGGTGCCTCCTTCCGTATTCGGGTGTACGCCCTGCCCATGTAGCATGCCAGCATGGCAGTGACCCACATGTCGGTGGCTGAGAGCGAGGATGCACTGAGTGAGCCACTGATTGATTTTTTTTCTCATAAAAAAACACTGAATTTTAATTTAATCTCGTAATAAACAGCCTGAAAATTTCCAACAACAAAATAAATAACTAATAAAGGATATATCCTAGGAACTCACTTAGAGACACTGCTAAATCTGTACTACCTAGCCACCAAGCCAGACTATGGAGTATTTAGCCTCGCATGTATATCTTGAAGCGATTTTTTATATATATGACGCTCCCATGGGCCTGCACAAATTTCATTTCATTTTTCCAGGTTCATGTTTATTTTTCTTTTTGGTATTATTTTTCCCATTTGAAAGAAAGAAATGTAAGAAAAAATTACAACTACAGTAACAAACGGTAAACATGTACCCGGATTTTTGGCTTGCATTAAGAAAATTGACAACATGTTTTTAGAAAATAGTCAACATGTATTCAAAAATTTTGTTTAAATTTATTCCCACTTTTCGACAAGCATGTTTATCATATTTTAATACAATTCTAGTATTAATTATTATTACACAACAATTTTGGATACACATTTTTTTTTCCAAAATACAATATTTCATTTAAAAATACAATGAAGATATAGAATAATTGTGGGTGGTTGTTGTCCCCAAAGAAGACACATAAATTTAAGCAATAATCGTTAATACACAATGAGCTGTTTAGAAAAAGTTCATGTTCACCTCTTTAAGGTACACAATAATGAAAATAGCATAAAGATTGAAAATACGAAATAATTATATATTGGTAATTATTGTAGTATTTTAAACAGAAAAATTTATGTATCATGAAAACTAAACCAAAATAAAAAAAAATACAGTAGAGAACGCATCAGGTAAATTCAAAACGTGGCTCAGTCAGCTGGCCAGCTCACCCAGGCAGTTAACCAGGATGTCCCCTGTTCGAACTCTCCATCCAGTTTATTATTCTTTGTTGATCCTCCAAAAGAAGTTTATTTTTCTTTGTTATTCTCTCTAGCGTATTGACTGGTGGGATCCACCGGCCTGTAAAAATAAAAACAGTAGATAACACCTAAAAAAATTGCAGAGAGGTGATACGTGCAGTTTGTCTGTATAGATTTTCAGCGAATTTTTTTACTCAAGTTTAGTTCGGCCCGGAGGTCAGATCACGCCCGGTATAAACCAGGAGGTCCCTGGTTCAACACGCGCCTCCATGCAGTTTTTTTCATGTTATTTTTGCTACGTATTAAATAAAATATGAGGGGGTTTACGTAAAAACAACTCACATGCGGGACACCCAGCCCCTCCTCGCTCTCAGCCACTGACATGTGGGCCACTACCAGGCTGGCAGGCCACATAGCTATGACGTACATGCGAATATGGAAGGAGGCAGGGTCGGTCCTGAGATTTCGGGGGCCCGGGGCGAAACAAAAATCGGGGGCCTTATATATTACCTTATTTTATTTCTAACTTTGTAGATGTAAAGGTTCCAATGACGATATGAATATCAATCTTATTCAATAATTTCTTTTTCAATGTGTAAATTTGCCAAACCGAATCTATCTTGGGACATTTACGGACCTCACATCGTTTTTGTCAATATATATCTATTTATAAGATGCACATGCTTCTTACAGTAGGACAAAAACAATCACATAAAGGAAGCATACCTGGGCCATTATCAAAACATCCACTGCCTCCTTATACATGTTCTTTTCATAAGACTTCTTTGGTATCTTATGAAGCACAAAAACCATCTTCAAAGCTTAATACGGATAATGGGTTAAATTTCGTAAGCAATATTGCTTATGAGAAATGAACATAAGATTCATTGTATTAGTTGTACCATATGCAGATACAAAAGCATCATTTTGTGTCCACTTTGAACCTCAATTCCTGATCCAAAAATCCAAATTGAGATCTTCTATATGGGAGGGACCATCTGAATGCCTTGGAGACAGTCGTAAATTTTGAATCGAAGCGAAAATCCTGCTCATGGGGACTACAATTTTTTTAGTGTAGAGCAAGAAAGGGCAGAAATCTCAAAATCAATAGGAACTAACGGGATTCAATCCAAAAAAAAGCAAAGGGATCCCTACCTACCAGGGTGTGAAGACGAGCCTGCAGATTTATCCCTCATCGTGGCCGTGGCGCCGGCGGCGGCATCGGTGGCGATGGATTGGGGGACTGGAGATTGACGTGATCGTTTGGCTGAAAAAAATGATACGTGGGTGCGCTGTATGTACCTGACTAGCCCATGGGCAACATGCATGCCATATACACATACGTACCTGACTAGCCCATGGGCAACATGCATGCCCGGGAGGGGCCCCCTAGACTTCAGGGGCCCGGGGCGATCGCCCCCCTGCCCCTCCCCAGGGCCGGCCCTGGACAAGACAAGTTGCGGCACTAGTTTCATGTATTTTGCAAGTTTAGGTATCAAAAGTGACCGCGAGGAACAAGTTTAGACACCCTTAGCGTATTTAACTCTTTAACAATGACACTTTTGGAGCATCGAGTTTTCTTTTGCCACCACTTCCACGCATGTCATTCCTTGATGCAATTTTTTGAGCAATCAAAACATTCATCGGTGTTTGCCCCCCAAAAATTCAGTTTTTATTTTTATTTTATTTTTCTATTTTTCAGATATTTACTGTTCACCCGAGCTCATTGGAGCTTGAGCTCAGAAACACCACGTCCGGGAAATTTTCACATTCCTAATTTTACGAGGAAAAAAAATCACATGAGCAGAAACATGGGTCATAAAAAGAAAATAGCTTTATGACCCATCCTCAAGCACGGTCAGATCTTAGAAGAAAAAAACTAGCTACTTGCCCATGCACTGCAACGGAGCATACGTATTCTAGTGGTTCAACCCCAATAGGACCATATCAAGATTTTCAAATCTTTTCTACTACCTCTGTTACTAAATATAAGACACTTTTGTTGTTCAATTTAAACTGCAAAAACGTCTTATATTTAGTTACAGAGGTAGTATTTAGTAGTCTAAGTTTTTCGATGAGGATAATTAGTTCGGTCTTTGTGGTCTGACTCTATCATAGATTGACTACATTCTGCATAGGTCCCTCGTATATCCTATTTTTGCAACTACTGGCGGTTTCATTATGGGGCAGCTCATGATCTTCATATTGATCTATTATCCACCTTAGCTAAACAGGTGGAAGATCCATCCAATTTGGTTATATCATGGAATCACGACCAAATTATACCTGACACCCACCTTATTCTAGTGGATCTTTTCTGCACCAAGGTTCTACAGTTAATCTTGCACATTACTCATAGCTAACAGTAATAAAAAATAAAAAACCAAAGTTGCTAGTAAAAAAGGCAAACCAAACTCTCTTAGTTCGAACTTAGTAACACACCCTAGCAATTCACTAGCAATATATCTCAAAACATATCATTTTTACTTAAAATTTGGACATAATACCGACATGTCAGAACATGGATCTGAGATTGTCAGGTGAGTGATATGACATTTAGAGTTTAGAATTAAGATAAGTGGCTTCAAGTTTACTCAGAGTAGGAGGGGGTGCATGGGCTGGGAAACAATGACATACACCAGGCGGTGAAAAATCATTGGCTGGGATGAAATGCATTGCAATATCGTATTATAATCAATGAGGAT